AATTGCTCCACTCTCTAAATAAATGTTGTATCACAAGTTTTTATTCACAAATTCTTTACTTTAATACAAACATTGAGATGGGCCTCCATGGAATTAATGAGACATTTTTAGTCACTGGAGAGAAAAACTCAATGGATGCTTTCCCACGTTCACTACTTAGGACCTTGGGTGAGGTCCAGGGTTTGAAATTTGAAACTTGGAAGTTGAAAGGGGGAATTCTCTATGGCAATTTCTTTTTGAAAATGTATACAAACTCCCAAGTTTCAAATCCTGGCCATGTGCTTTCTTTGTCCAATGACAGACACAGTCCAGAATCCTTATTCAAACATCTGTGTTTAGAATTGATACCCACACCTTTGAAACATGGCTGGAAGCAACTGTCAGTAGAAGTTAAAGATGTGCCAAGAAATGAAGGGATGAGGTAGTCGTCACACTAAAAATTATAAAAGCAGTTAGAGTGAGGGAAGACTGAAATGCCCATCTGTCCCGATGCCAGCAATGGTCAGGGGTCAGGGGAAGTGATGAAGAGCTGGTGGCTGGACTGGGGACTCAGGTGAAAGCTGACCTCGACAAGAACTGTCGGGAAAAGCCCACTGCGGAGGCTTTCAAGTACCCAGAGAAGAATGGCAGGTGTCAAGTATTGCCTACAGGACAGTGAGGAACAAAAACAGACAATGAAAGCAATTAGTTTGAAAAACTGAGAAAGATGAGCTGAAGTGTTTTAATAACTGGTCTCTTAGATTTAGTGGTTATAACCAGACTCGTGTTCTCTAAGTCAGTGGTTTCATTAGAAATGGACAGCTCGATCTGTTTCTAGAAGTTTTGCATCTGTAGGAAGACTGGGAGGTATCTAGGCATTGATCTCTCAAAGACCACGGCTGTGTATATGATCACATACTTATTTTTTCACATTTTTAATAGCTCTGAAAACAGAATGCATCTTACAGTTGATGGCAGTTTTCAGTGTTTATTGGCAGTATGTTTTCATTCTCTGTGGTTCATAACATAATGGTACATTTTATGATCAATATTGCTTAGACTCCATAAAATATGGGTGTATGATGAGTGACTCAGCTAAGGAGAGGGAGCTATGAGTGGATAAAAGATGCAGGAGAAGGAAGCAGAGGAGATAACTCTGAACAGCCGTGTCATTCAGTAAATATTTGCTGAGTGCATGAGTTACTCACACTGATGGGGTGGTGAGGGTGAAGTTTAATTATACTCTGTGTCTAGGGCTGGATGGACAGAGGCAAGATGTATGGGGTGTGGAGACGAAGACCAGCTGATTAAAACCCTGGGTGGAGTGGCCGACAAGCTCGGAGACGCCATGGAGGACAAACATCTCATTAGGAAGGGGCCTTTCTGGGGAGAGTACCCCAGTGTGGTGTGTGCTTGATTGGTGTCATGAAGGGAGACAGAGGTTAAGGCCGTGGGTGTCCTAAACAACCCATCAACCCTGATGTGGGTGTTGAGAGGGCACTCCATGGGTGGAACAGGGCAGGAACGACTGGAGGAAAACCCAGTCGGGCTCAGAGTCCTGCAGGGGGCCCAGAGCAGATTTTTCTGAAGCCAGGAGAGCCCCAGCCTCAATTTCTCCCTGGAGGCTGGGCTGTAGCCACAGAAGACACCGGTTTGATCCATGGATCAAGAAGATCCCCTGGAGGAGGGCCTGGCAACCTACTCCAGTATTTTTGCCTGGAGAATCCCATGAACAGAGGAGCCTAGAGGGCTATAGTCCATGGGGTCACAAAGAATTGGACATGACTGAAGCGATTTAGCATGCAAGCACACAAATATTTAAAAATTTTAAGGACAAGGAGTCACTTTTTCCTAATCCAGAAGTAAAGATTGCCCCTCTAGATGATAATGTGATAAAAGAGTACACAGTCTGCAGTCTGCCTTCCAATTTCAGCCAGATCCCCGGAGGACAAAGAAAATAGATAAAAACAGCTGATGGTGGGTGGAGGTAGAAACACCATCCCCCCCCGCCCCCCCACCCTGATCCTGGTGTGTTTCATGTGATGGCAGCTGCACACACTCCAGGCAGAAACAAACATCAGCCATAGCTCTTAGCCACTGTTGTCCTGTGATCAGATGATGCCTCTTTCAAGTAAAACGTCTTTGTTTGAAAATTCTCTACTCTCCATTCATTTCTCTAAGTCATGCACAGCCACAGTTATATGTACATATATGAAAGGCCCATTGAAAATATTTCGCTTACCCTAGGAATAAATTCTGCAAACCTCTGCACCCTGGCCCTGCCTTCTGATAACTCACATGTGACAAGCCCCAGAGAAGGGGTCCAGCCTCTGAGGTCCAGGGTGGGAGGCTGATGGAGACCCTGCAGCTGCTGACTCTCTGCTTTCTTGTCCTCTACCCCTGGAACTGCCTTCAGGAACCGTCCCATCCTCCAATGTAACTTTCCAAATGTGCTCTTTTCCTTCTCAAATCCCTTAAAGTTGTATCCCCTTGGTAGCCGTTTAGTTGCTAAGTCAATGCTTGACTCTGCAGCCCCATGGACTGTACCCATGAGGCTCCTCTGTCCGTGGGATTCTCCAGTCAAGAATACTGGAGTGGGTAGCCATTCCCTTCTCCAGAGGATCTTCCCGATCCAGAGATTAAACCCGGGTCTCCTGCAATTGGCCAGTGAATTCTTTACCACTGAGCCACCAGGGAAGCCCTTGCATTCCCTTGCTGTTGCTGCTGCTGCTAAGTCGCTTCAGTCGTGTCCGACTCTGTGCGACCCCATAGACGGCAGCCCACCAGGCTCTGCCATCCCTGGGATTCTCCAGGCAAGAACACTGGAGTGGGTTGCCATTTCCTTCTCCAATGAAGGAAAGTGAAAAGTGAAAGTGAAATCGCTCAGTTGTGTCCAACTCTTCGAGACCCCATGGACTACAGCCTACCAGACTCCTGTCGCATTCCCTTAGTTGTTCTCAGATTTAATTCTCTCCCAACATAAGAGGGGAGTGAGACACCACCCAGGGACCCCACACAAGCCTCTCCCCTGGGACATGGGAGGGCACCCATCACCTCCCTACTGCCCTCAATACATTTCAGTCTCAGCTCAGGGAGCAAGCCCGACTTAACAGACAGCTTTCACTTCAGACAGCCAATGCAGGAGACACAAAAGACATGGATTTGACCCCTGGTTGAGGAAGATACCCTAGAGGAGGAAATGGCAACCCATTCCAGTATTCTTGCCTGGAGAATCCCATAGACGGAGGAGCCTGGCAGGCTGCAGTCCAGGGGATTGCAAAAGAATGGGGCATGACTGAGCAATGGATCACAGCACAGCACTCTGCACCAAGGGGGGTTCTGCTGTCTTTAGGAATTCACCAACTCTGGGAGGGGCAGTCTCTCCCTGGTCAACATGGGCCCATGATATGAAAACACCAGAAAATACAAAACATGATCAACATAATCATTCAGGCCTTCGAGCCACCCATCCCCACCCCCACTCCAACCATGACCACAGGCAAGGAGAATCACTCTGCTTGATTCTAGAGATTCGGAGAGAAATAAAGCTTCGTTAACGTGCACTAAGCCCAAGGGCCGCAAATTTTATCGTGCATGTAATTTTCTGAGCCTTCTTAAGAAGGTTTCTGATTGGGTGGGAGGAGTGGGATCTGAGTAGCTTCAGGTCTAACCATCCCCCAGATGATGCCTTGGCTGCTGATCCATGGCCCACACATGTGGGAGGGCATTCAACTAGAATCATGTGCCCCATTTTTTCAGGCATGTTGATTTGTTAACTAACGACGGAGAATATTATTTAATGTGTAAAAACGAGCATTAACCTAAGACTTGTTTATTCTAAAGCAATTACATTTAAGGCTTTTTTTTTTTTCTGTACCAGCCACTTTCTATCCCCAAATAAAATTCGATCTTACCATAAGGCTCATCTAATGAGAACTGGCCCAGGGACCTTATTAATTCTCAAGACAAAAGGGTGCCCTCAGCCCCCTGTTGTTCAGAAGCCCTGGACTTAGGCAGGAAGGAAGTGGGTCTGTTGAGGGGGACAGACCTGGAGGCAGGTTAGGAGACTATGTCTGCCCTGGTATTATATTGGACATGTAGTCATCCCTGTGATGGACTCCGCAAATGTAGAAACTCCAGCATATTTTGAAATCCCAATCGGGTTTGGTCATGAGAACAGAACCCCAGCTGGGTGGTCAGGGGCAACTTTCTGTTGTTCAGTCACTCAGTCATGTCCAACTCTTTGCAACCCCAGGGACTGCAGCACACCAGGCTCCCCTGTCCTTCACTATCTCCCAAAGTTTACTCAAACTCATGTCCATTGAGTCAATGATGCCATCCAACCATCTCATCCTCTGCCGCCCCCTTCTCCCCCTGCCCTCAATCTTTCCCAGCATCACAATCTTTTCCAGTGAGTTGGCTCTCTGCATCAGGTGGCCAAAGTATTAGAGCTTCAGCATCAGTCCTTTCAAGGAATATTCAGGGCTGATTTGCTTTAGGATTGACTGGTTCAATCACCTTGCAATCCAAGGTGCAGCTTTAAGGGCTCCTTAAAACCAGGACCACAGGACTTACAGTGGGCATCACCAAGCAGGCTGTGGCTGCTTCTGGGGGATCACCCACCTCACCACCGGATGACCTGCACCTCCCCTTCTCATCCAAGGGCACTCCTCACTGCTGGCCAGTCTCTAAAGCCGCAGTTTTCAACCTTGCCTGCCCTTTGGCATCAACTGGGGAGACTCGGAAACTCAGAAGAACAAATCCTAGAGGTTATTAAATCAGGGTGCCCTTGGCCCCGCAAGGGGTAGATGCAACCAAGCTGAAACCTACCAGAAAGGGTCCCCTTGAACACAGGATGCAAGAGGCAAACAGAACCACCTATAGTGCTGCTTTTAAAAGGTTTTATCCAGGGGAAAATAAAGCACATGCTCAATTCCACTCTTTTCCTCTTCGAATAAATTTCACTTTATTGGAGAGAATGTAGCATCAACTATTTTACTCTGTGTGGAGCTTTTCAGTTTTCCTGTTCCATTTTGCAGCACCTCCACTCCTTCAGCTGTAATTTTATATGATGCCTTGCCGGCATTTGCAGAGTAAAACATTACATGTAGTTTTAAGTGCCAAAAGGTATAGGAAGTTTTGTAAAACTCTGGAAGGGAGAGAGCAATAGGTTTATCTTAAGGTCATAAAATTTTTTATTTGATTTTTTTGCCCCTCCTTTATACTTGTTGCTGTTACTTTAAAAGTCTTCGGGCATTTAACTGGCAATAAACAGGGCAAAACAAACTGTTCCTTCCTTTAGATTGTGCAATTTTTATGGCTTCAGTTTACAGCCACCAAATATGCCTTTTTGAAAAATGCTTGTTTAACCACCTTCTGTTTGTAAGCAGTAGGGCTGTGAGCCAACCCTCCCTGGAGGTGAAGTCGTACTGTCTGAGTGCCCCAAGGTTTTCAAAGATGCTTAGAAACAATCCAAAGTTAAGTGACACTGATGATGCTGGTTCCTTAGCCAGACAATTGCGTGGAATTGAATCAAAGACAGCTGAGCTTGTGTTGTACCCACTTGTCACGCCCAGGCATTTAAAGCAAATGGAAAAGCCAGCAGGAACGTGGTTGTAACCAAAGGAATCAGGGAGGAATTGTCCATTTCCACGATAATTTAGAAGCCAGTGACCAGAGTAAATACTTCCACGCTAAATCAGGGAACACATTTTGGATCCCGTAGGCAATGTGGGCGGGGAGGGTGAGTTTTATTTTGGCTGACACTATGCCATGCTTCCAGTTTTCACATCTTTTCGGTACATCTCCACCTCAACCTCAAAAACCTCAGGGTAATGAGTCAGGATCCAGCTGGATTGGGGGGAGGGGGATTGGGGGTTGAAAGGTTGCCTACCAGTATATTCCTTGGGCAGGAAAAGAAAAGTAGGATTTCAGAGCAGTAAGTACTGTCAACATAAAAAATAGTCACACCCTAAAAGTTGAGAGTTACGTTTTATTTGGTGGGAATTTTTAAAACTTCAAGCCTACAAGACAGCATCTCAAATGATCCTGAAAAAACTGCTCTTAGGAGGTAGAGGGTGGCGGTGCGGGGCAGGGTGGCAGTGAGGGGGTGGTTAGGGGTGGTGGTGGGGTGGGCGGGGGGAGTCAGGTTATATAGAAGTTTGCAACAAAAGGTAGCTAATCTGAACATCAAAAGTATTTTTGTGAATTAAAGAAAACCAGATATCTCAAGTTCCTAGAGAAGGAAATGGAAACCCACTCCAGTATTCCTGCCTGGAAAATCCCAAGGACAGAGGAGCCTGGCAGGCCACAGGCCACAAATGAGTCGGACATAACTGAGCACACACAGACATCTCAAGTTAAGGAATTTAGCACTTTTCTGTTTATGGGAAGATGCAAGAGTCTGGGTTCACTGAAATCAGTCCTGTATCTAGGGCCAATGTCCTGTGCTTTTCACATCCTGAGCTCCTCAGGGCTCCCTGTGGGGAATGGCTACATACAGGCTGATGGCCGCCATGTAACTCAGGTCTTCTCCTTCCTGGATGCCCTGGAGGGCTGGAATCCCTGAGGACGGTGACATCCTTGTTCACTGAGATGGCAGGAAATTACTCTGTTTCTCAGTACTTAAACATTTAAAGACAAAATTCGAAGAATTCGGAGGATTTTTACTCTTCTCTGAACACCTATGTTTTTTGGCAATATGTTTAGCCTCCAAGGCAAATAGAGCAATAATCTCCACCATCACATAGCTTTTTTGTTTTGTTTTTCATCATTGACTTCTTTATTTATTTATCTTTGTAGTCATGGCAGCAACATGAAATGAAAAGGTTATTATTTCCTATTTGAAAATAGGAAAATCTGGAGCTTCCAGATACCCCCCAGCTTCACAAAAATCCTTCCTCCAGAGTTTTCTATCTCCTGTCAGTTATTACACAATGCAATTAGAATCATTTGTCTCTAATATTGCTTTATCATGTTGCCACCTTCCTCAAGAACACTGTAATAATAACAACAATATTATTTAATTTTATGGCACATTTCCTTCCCACTAGACACTTTGCTAAGTACATTATCCACACTGCTTATTTAGTATCACATTAGGAAGCTCTTATTATTTTATTGTATCATTTTACCATTAAGAATCATCAACAACTTAAGTAACAGCCAAATATAGCTAGAAAGTTGAGCCCAGCTCTACAATAATGCATGAGTGCTCAATCACTCAGTGGTATCTGATTATATCTGACCCCATGGACTGTAGCCCATCAGGCCCCTCTGCCCTTGGGATTTCCCAGGCAAGAATACTGGAGTGGGTGGCCGTTTCCTCCTCTAGGGCATCTTCCCAAACCAGGGATCCAACCCCCATCTCCTACACTGGCAGACGGATTTTTTTACCACTGCGCTACCAAAGAAGTAGTTGTCTTGCCTGCTGATAGAATGTTGAAAGCTGTCATTTTCTCCCTGTAGATCTGACAATGTTTCCTCTCAATAGTTCATTGTTCAGCGCACTAAGCTTAGCTGTTTGTACATGGCCAGTTGCTTCAGTCATGTGTGTTTGTGACCCCATGGACTGTAGTCCACCAGGCTCCTCTGTCCATGGGATTCTCCAGGCAAGAATACCGGAGTGAGTTCCCATGCCCTCCTCCAGGGGATCTTCCCAACTCAGGGATCAAACCGGGGTCTCCTGCATCTCCTGCACTGCAGGCAGATTCTTTATTGTTGAGCCACAGGGAAAGCCCCAAGCTTAGCTAGAAATCATATCAAATACATATGTAAATATTTACCTATTTATTTATACATATATAATTCCATAGATGTAAATTAGACGAGCTAAATTTGCTATAGTGTCTGGTGATTCGAATCTTACAACTAAGTGTGAAGCACATACAAGTCTGAGGCTCTTTCACATAGGACACACCAAGTTTTCAAATGACCAGTCTCTGGGCAGGGTCCCAGTCATGTCATGACCATCTGAGGATGAGAAGGGGCAGCTGATGGGGTCGCCAGGTGGCCTTTCTCTCCGGTGCTCCATTGATCACTGCTGGGGGCATTCTGCACACACTCTCCGGCTAGTGGGTCCCTGTGCAACTCTCTCCATGGTTTCAGGACAGCTCCCATCCCTGAGCATGTCCAGCCCCTATTTTAATGCTGTGTTTGGAGGTCATCTCATGCCCTTCACATGAAGGGCTCCCTGTGATGAGCCGGCAGGAGGTGAACCTCGTTTTTAATCCCAGCTCCATCATTAGGAAACCGTGTGTCTTGCACTTCCGGCCTGATTACAAATGGGGGTAGGAGGGCTGTGGCCCTTCTGATCCCTGGGAGGAAGATGAGATCATATTTGTGCACATCTGTGTGTTGGTGTGTGCACACGCACGTGGAGTATTTCTTTCAAGAAGTGGGAAAGCCCATGAATAGCAGGAAGCACTTATTTTTTCCCCCCGCATCTGCCAATGTTTTCTGGGTCCTTGGAGAGGCACTAAACACCTGGTTCTCACCATAAACGCTCTGCAGAAGAGCGAATCCATGCTTCCCTCTGGGCAGGACCTGGGGGACCCAGGGACCACAGGGCCTTCATCCCAGACTCACCTGCCTTCCCAGCACAGGCAGCCTATACCCATGCAGGCATAAGGGTAGCAAGTCCTCTTTTAAATACGTTCATCGGTATATTTGGAAAGACAGTTTCTGTGAGCAAGAAAACAGAAATGAGTTGCTTACTCCTTGTAAGGGAAGACTGTTCAGTTTTATTGTATCTTTAATAACCAGAGAATTAACTCTGACACGTTTGACTGCCACTAGGAAGGGAAAACGAAAAGCAAACAACCCAGCAACCCCTTGCTTCACCCTGCACGTGTTTGTTTTTGAAATGCTATGAATAAAGAGTTTAAATACTGTCCAATACTCATGAAGATTAGTGAATAACCTTCTTCTTTTTAAATATATATACCTGCATACATGCGTGTATAGTTATCATCCCACTTTTTTATTATGAAGGATAATTTGTGGGTAGACAAGAGGGTCATGTCAAATTATAGCTGCAGGGGTCACTAGTTTTACGAACTTGGAAAATCACTCCAATTCACTTTTCTTTATTTATAGGTGGGATTGCAGTGATGCCCACCTCAAGAGGTTTCGTGAAAATTCGATTGGAAGAGTCCATAAAATTTTATCTAGGGCAAGGAATAAGGAACCACGACCACACAAGTGGCAATGAAAAATTAAAAGTAATCTTCGTTAAAAAATGTGAAGTCAGTTTTTAAAGCACCGTAATCACATGAAACCACATGAATCCACAATGGAGAGGAGTTCCTGTCTAACTGCATACTGGCTTCTTGCCGTTCCCACACCTCCCTCTCTGGTCCCATCTCTGTGTGTGGTTTTGCTGCAGAAATAGGACAGACTCCCTGAGATTCATCACCTCCTTCCGCCAAGCAGTGCTATGCTCAGGATGTTGCTAAATGTAAACACAGACCTGGATCAGCTCGTCGTCATTCATGGGCGCCTGGTAATCCACAGTGTACCTAAAACAGGACTTATCTGACCAGTCTCCCACTGACAGCCCTTCATAGTTCTTACTTCCTTTCTGTCTTTTCTGTAATGATGATGCTTACTTTTCAGTTTTTGTGAATGTGACCTCTTATTGGATGAATTCCAGAAAGTGGAACTGAACACTCAAAGGGTCCACATTGCTAAGATTTTGGGTCCAGGCTGACAAGTTGCCCCCAAAAATATCATGACAGTGTACTCCCCCACAAACAACACATGAGGACATCTACTTTCCCACAGCTTTTCAACCTTTGCTAATTTTTTAGCCCCAAATTATCTTTTTATTGTGATAATGCATTTAGTTTTGATTGCTAGTATAAAAAGATGTGGTGAGGTGACATTTATGAAATTAAGTCACCAGGTTGCTGCAGAAAGTGGGAGACAGCAAACCACTGAGATGCATTGAGAGGACTGCAAGTTCTCTGGACTCAAGGGGAGGCTGGGGCCCTGTAGGCGACCCAGAGAAGGTTCTTCCAACCCATGGTTCTAAGGAAAGACAACGTACTCATGGTGGAAGACAGCTTGGGGGTGAATGGATTTACGACTCTGGAAGGGCTCACACCCATGGAGGGTGTAGGCAAAGCTGGAACAGTCTACCGGGAAGCCACCTAGTGACCCCCTTTACTGTTGAGCAATGACTGTGAACCACAAAGGTTACAGACCTGAGGGCAGCAGTCCAGTACCCAGACCAAGAGAGGCATTCCCACCAATGAACACATCCATCTACAGAGCGCAAGCCTGACTCCCGCATCCCTGCTCTCCTTCTCTTTGCCTGATGTTTGGAGTAGGATGGTGGCCGTTGGGACCACGTAAGCCCCAGGATCTCTGGATAATTGAAAGGAAGTCTCAAGAGGGTAGAAATGCTATGCCATAGACTCTGCAGATGAGAGCATGTCAACATTGGAGCAATTTGCTGGGAAAGAAAGAAAAACCAAGCTGGGGAAACATACCCAGTGTCATTGAAAGAAAATTTCACATGATTACTGGCCTTGCAGAATTCATGTTCCGAAATTGTCCTATTTATAGCCTCCATCCATTTTTTCCTGGACTGCTTCTCTGGCTCTTGGAACAGGAAAGAGCTGTTTATATGCTGGTGATGTTGACGTTGTTGTGAACACTGGAAACATCAGGGAAGGGAAAGACCTAGGGGAGAGAAATGGAAATGCAAAGTGAAGCAACTTCTGGTTTGTGAAGACTTTTTGTTGACTTCTGCCTTCACCAATCAATTTTTAAATAGGTTAAGCAATAAAAACATTTTAACACATTTAGAAACCTTTTAAAGCATTCAGGGATTCCTAAGGGAGCCTAGAAACCTCAACTTCTTTGAGGGTTAGAAGCTGCAGAATGTGAGCTGGGAGTTGGGGGATGGATAGGGGAGAGGACTCAGTCATTCCATACGTGGCCCCGAGAATGAAGGGCTTTGGAGCAAGGAGAATGCCTGTGGTCAGAGTACTCTCTCTTTTTTTTTAAGTTGAAGTATAGTTGATATACAATATCATGTAAGTTTCAGGTGTACAAAACAGTGATTCACAATTTTTAAAGATCGTATTCCATTTATAGTAATTATCAAACATTAGTTAAATACCCTGTGCTGTACAATATGTCCTTGTAGCTTATTTATTCTATACATAGTAGTTTGTACCTCTTACTCTCTTACCCCTATATTACCCTGGTACAGTATGTTCTCTATGAGTCTGCTACTGCTTTGTTAGTTGTATCTTTTTAGATTGCACATATAAGTGATATCATACAATCTTTTGCCTTTCTTTGCCTGACCTGGTTCACTTAGCTTAATACCCTGTAAGTCCGTCCACATTGATGCAAACAGCATTATTTCATTCTTTTTTTACAACTGAGCAATATTCCACTGTGTATATATACCACATCTTTATTATCCATTAGTATGCTGATGGACACTTAGGTTGCTTCCTTGTCTTGGCTATTCTTGAACATTCTAGTCATCTAATCCATACTCCCAGTTGGAATTGGGACAACAAAGAATGTATCATTCAGAAAACAAGTTGACCTATTTTTGACAAAAAGAAAACCATGAAACCACATTTCAAAGAAGAGTCAGAAGTCTGATTTCAAATGGGAGCATGAATACTTACCATCCAGGAGCCTTGAGAATTCTCAAGCAAACATGTTCTGAACATCAGCTCCACGCCAGGACACAGAGCTGTGTGGGCACCAGGATTTTTAAAGATGTGAATGAAATAAACGATTTCAGTCAAGAAGCAGCCCAAACTCTGTAAAGATATGCAGATGTGTCAACATACAAGTGCAATTCAGCCGCAGGTAGTGGCATGTAATGACAAACACAGTTCAGCAGAGCAGTTAGGATCAGAGGAGCTGAAGAATAACCAGGTTCCAGTCCTTAGCTGTGTGACCTTGGACAACTTGTTTAACTTCTCTGTGCTTCACTGCTTCATCTGTAGAATGAAAATAATACTAGTCCCTACTTCCCAGGTTTGACTGAGGATGAAATTAGTTGATACTCATGAGTGAGCAGAACAAAGCCTGGAACATAATAACTGCTCAGGATGTGCTAGCTGTTGTATGTTCGTAAACAGCTCCCAACCTCAGCCTTCCCATCTGTAACATGGGAGTAATAATTAGAGGTTGCCTTTAAATTATGACCATGGGGCTTTCCTAGTAGTTTAGTGGTAAAGAGTCTGCCTGCCAATGAAGCAGACATGGGTTTGGGAATATCCCACATACTATGGAGCAACTAACCCATGGGCCACAACTACTGAGCCCCTGCTCTAGAGCCTGGGAGCCTCAACTACTGAAGCCCATGCGCCTGAGAGCGTGTGCACCAAAACAAGAGAAACCAGTACGGTGAGAAGCCTGTGCACTGCAACTAGAGAGTAGCCCCTGCTTGCAGCAATGAAGACCCAGCACAGCCTTAAATAAATAAATAAAATTTTTAAAAGGATGACCAGAATCCAACAACATATTAAAAAAATCATACACCATAACCAAGTGGGCTTTATCCCAGGAATATAAGGATTTTTTAATATCCACAAATCAATCAATGTAATACACCACATTAACAAATTGAAAGATAAAAACCATATGATTATCTCAATAGATGCAGAAAAAGCCTTTGACAAAATTCAACATCCATTTATGATTAAAACTCTCCAGAAAGCAGGAATAGAAGGA